TGCAGGGCTCTCACAAATGTGGCCCTTGATAATTTTTTCAAAGACCTTCCCCAGGATAGAAGTGAGGCTGACTGGCCTGTAGTTGCCAGGCTCTTCCTTCCTCCCCTTCTTGAAAATAGGGACCACATTGGTCCTTTTCCAGTCCTCAGGGACTTGGCCCGAGCACCAGGAGTCCTTGAACAGCCGTGCCAATGGCTCTGCAATGGCACCAGCCAATTCCCTCGGCGCCCGCTGAAGGTCATCTGGGCCCGCCGACTTGGACCCATTTAAGCCCTCCAGGTAATCCTTAACTAGGTCTGAACTAACAGTCAGGGGACTCACATCCTTTCTGGGCCTCTCTACGCTATCACCCAAGAGCACCCCATTGTCAGCGGACAGGAACACGGAGGCAAAGAACTTGTTGAAGAGTTCTGCCTTCTCTCACGTGTCCATCACCAACTGGCCTGCCCTGCCTCGTAGGGGTCCAATGTTACCACAAGACTTCTTCTTGCTACCTATATACTTGAAAAAGGACTTTTTGTTATCCTTAATCCCAGAAACTAATCTAAGCTCCAGTGCTGCTTTCACCTTCCTCACCCAATCCCTACAAGCTCAGGTCAGGGAGGTGTACGCCTCCTTTGTCCCTGCCCCCTGCTTCCACCGCCAGTACGCTTTTTTCTTTGCCCTCAGGCCAGCCTAGATATCCGTGCTCAGCCATGAAGGTTTCTTGGGCCCTTTTCCTGCCTTCCTGCGCAGAGGAATTGCGTCCTGCTACGCCCCAAGGATAGCCTCCTTGAGAAAGGACCACCTTTCTGGGACCCCCATACTAGCAACCCCCTGGGGTCCGAGTGCCTCCCTGACTACTGCCCTGAGCACATTGAAGTTGGCTTTCCTAAAGTCAAGCATTTGCGCTGTGCTAGTTACCCTCCCCACCTTTCTGTGAACAGCAAACTGGAGCATTTCATGATCATGTCCCCTAGCCTCCCTTGTACTAGCACCTCCCCCCACCAGGTCGTCCCCAGAGGCTAACACCAGATCCAGTATGGCGTTTTCCTTAGTGGGGATGAGTACCTCCTGCACAAAGTGCAGGTCCTGTACACACGTCAGGAACCTTCATGAGTGAATAACTTGGGTCATAGGATGAAAATAAAATGTGAGCTAAAATCGTTCTTAAGGCAATATGTAGGAGGCTGTGGAGTAGCCTCCTATAGGAAGGAATAGAAGATACATTACTCAGGACATCTGAAGTGCATCTTAATCTTAGAAGGTATTACAAAATGGACTTTCAAGTAACCTGCTCCCTGTTTGTCTGATCCTTCTCTCATTTGGACCAGTGTAACTCGTAACAGAGTTATCAGCAGTATCTCACTGGTGTGAGAAGAAAAATGAGTCTGTATTGGAGGAATATCTATCACCTTCAGTGACTAATAACCTGCGACTGTTTTTCTATTCTGCAGAGATAGCCTGACTGAGACAGGGTGAGCTGGAACATTGTATTATTTACCAGACTGAATATTAAATACTAGACAATCATGCCACCTAGAATACATAGGTGTTACAAAGGGTAAATTTATCTTGTAGCACATTTTCTCCTGAAGAGGATGCATCACAGAGAAAGAACCCAGCTTGACACTTGAGTTGCAGAAAGTTTTTAGGCTTGGCAGTTCGCATTTAATCTAGGTACATTAACAAACAAGGAAACCCAAAATTCATCTTCAAAAACCCACTTATCTTTACAAAACTTCACCTCAGACAAGCCTAGATAAAATCCATCAAAGCAACTCAAACAGCATTATATAATCTTACTTAACCCAATTCTGATATTTTTGTTGATATTTGTAATATCATTGTTCTACTAATTCATTCACACAGAGCATTGCTAATGAAGTAATTCAGATAGCCACACACAGAACTGTCACACAAAATCTATGGCAGTGAAGAGTTAACTCATCTAACAGTATACACACTCTACTATACCTACAACCACCATGGACCAAAACCCTAACTCCTTTATCACAAGAACAGCTTGTGAGCTGTAGCTTCTGACTCCATATACATACTTTGCTAAGAACCATTTTTCAGTTTCACTTTGACTTTCTACTGTTAATCACCTATTAATTGTATTGAATGTGAAAAGTACATCTAGGTAAGAATCACTTTTGTCCTTTACCTTGCTTGTATCTGATCAAAGAACACAAACAGATTCTCAATGGAGCTGACAGGGTCAATACAGTTGTCAAATGTTGAGGGGAATGGGATTCTTGGGTTAATAACAAAAATATATTTATTATCAACCAAGGAATCTCATTCCCCACAACACCCAACAATTATATTTTTCCTGCCACTTCCATTGAGAATCTCTGTGTTCTGTGATCAGGGAGTTGACCAGCTGACTCACATCTATGCATACTGCCCAGCTAAAGGAATGAAACTAAATGTTTTTACAAGCTGAAGCCAAGATGTTAGATTATGCTTAAGCCATGATTTAACTGATACCTTTTACTGTGCTCGGCAAAACACTTCATGTTTTATTATTTATTGCAAAATTTGGAGTTGAACTGGCATTTGTATGATAGAATCAAGGTTATGGTGCTCAGTAATTGTTATGGTGGAATCCAAATATCTGTGGGTGGAGACAGTGGTGAATCCAGGATTTAGCAAAGGGGTGTGCGTGTGTGGGAATAGCAACCTGGGCTGCAGAGGTGGCTGTGTGAGCCTCCAGGGAATTTTTAAGTCCCCACAGCAGATAAGAATCACCATTTTCCCTCCATGCCTAGTCACATCCTCTACCGTCCCCTCTCCCTCTTCCCCTCCGCTAACCGTTGCTCCTTTCCCTGCTGTCCCTGGGGCAATGGGAGGATTCAGTGCCACTCCTGCACATTCCAGGCTGATTGCATGGGGTCTGAGCTCAGCTGGGACAGTAAGAGTGACAGCAGCGGCAGCGAGGGGTGGGACATGGGTTCTCCCACCCTGCCCAGTCTCCCAGGAGCAGGCACGTGAAGGGTAGCACCGCGTGCCCAATGATGCTGTTGCTGCCTCTGTCCCAGCTGAGCCCAGCCCCCATTCAGACCTTCTGGAACAGGTAGGAGTGGCTCTTGAGCTTCTCCCCAGACAGCAGGGAAAACAACAGTGGCAGTTGGGGGAGGGGAGAAGGGAAGGGGAGGAGGAGGGGACATGGTTCTGAGCATGGAGGGAAAAGTGAGGATTCTCACCTGGTTTGGGGACTTTAACAAAGTCCTAAGGTGTGGTCCAATCTAAAAGGGTGGTGCAACCATGCCACTACACCTCTGGTTCTGCCCCTCCACGGGGGACCAGAGAGCATGACCTGTTTGCTGGCTTACCTTTTAATTGCCTTGCTTTTGTGGCTTTTTTATTACCTGAGTTGCACGTGACATAACCATAACTGTTTCACAATAGGATTTTTTGTGTTTAAACTTCCTACTTTTTTGTAATGGAGATCTGCTGAGCCGAGCAGGCATCAGCCTCAGCTGTGACACTGCTGGCAGGTCCCGTGTCGGGGCTCTGGAACCTGTTGGCTGTGCCTACAGCTGATGCTGCCATCCACCCAAGGTGGCAGAAACTCCTGCCTGGGTTCAAGGTTCCTGGCAAACTACAGCTTTGGCTGTGCTCTGGAGGGAGGGAGGGAAGGGGAGATAGACACAGAGAGAGAGGAGAGAGAGAGATGGCTCTCAACAGGTCTCCAAAACTCTTTAAATGGCCTGCCAGCCAAAATAATTGGCCATCCCTGGTTTAATCATTGGTGTGGTGGGGGAGGGCATGGAGTTGCGTTAGACTGGGGACCTGTGTTACATGTGAGTGTGCCAGGCACAAGCTTTACTGGAGGCTGATGCTAGGAACTGTACTGACATAGCTCTCAGCACTTCTCTATACACCCAACAAAGCTCACAAAACCTTTTCCTCAATCCAACCCTCTGGACCACTTGTTGAACCAGCATTGGTTTATTTGTTTTTAAACTAATTTGTATTTGTTTTATTTTAATAATATTTAGTTGTAATTAACCTTTAGTATAAATCAATAATGTTTAGCATGAGTATAGCAGTCATTTTATATATATGGATGTATGGATGAATGAATGGAGAGTGAATGGTAAAAGCAGAGTAAATTATATGTCAGCAAACAAGTTACCAAAAGGTGAATCATGTTGAAGAAGAATAAAGGTAAACAGAAAAGACAAGATTGAAGATAAGGTCTACAACATCTCAAAGCTAGAGACTCAGGACACAGCCCACACCAGCAATAATGGAAGGATGTTGTAAAACAGCATGATTGAAGAGCAATACCTAAAGATAATGATGAACTGCTTGTCAGGATGGAAAAGTACTGAGATTTCAGACAGTGAAGCCACAGAATCAGAAAAGGTGGACCAGTCAC